CCTCCTCGCAGTTGGGCATGCCTAAAACACCTCCCCACTAAGGTGTCCAGGAGTCCTTGATAGGTACCTGAACAACCTCAACTGGCTCCTTTCGATGTGCAGGAGCAGCAGTTCTACTTTGAGCTCCTCCTGAATGTCAGAGCTCCTCACCCTGTCTCTAAGGCTGAGCACAGATACCCTGAAACTCATTTCTGCTGCTTGTACCCACAATCTCATTCTTTTGGTCACTACACAAAGATCGTGACCATAGGTCATGGTAGGAACGTAGATTGACAGGTAAGTCAAAAGCTTTGCCTTTCGGCTCAGTTCACTTTTCAACACCACAGAACGGTATAGCATCCACAATATTGCCCATACTGCACCAATCCGCCTGTTAATCTCCTGCTCTCTTACCTCACTCATGAACAAGTTCTTAAGTATCAAGATACTTAAACTCCCCCACTTGAGGCAGTAACTCCCACCCCAGTAGGAGAGAGCAATCCACTGTTTTCTGGCCGAGAACCATGGCCTCTGACTTGGAGGTGCTGATCCTCATCCTGGCCAGCTCATACTCTGCTGCAAACTCCTGCAGGTCACAGCCCAATGAAGCCAACAGGACCACATCATCTGCAAAAAGCAAAGATACAATCCTGAGGCCACTGAACCGGACCCCATCCTTCCATGGCTATGCTTAGGAATTCTGTCCATCAGTGTTATGAACAGAATTAGTGATAAAAGGCAGCTGTGATGGAGTCAAACACCCAGCGGAAACGAGTCTGACTTACTACTGGCAATGGCAACAAAATTCTATCTCTGTTTATACTGAGACCTGATGGCCCACAACAGCAAAACCTGTACCCCGTACTCCTAAAGCACCCCTCACAGAACCCCCAGAGGGATATGCCTTTTCCAAGTCCACAAAACACAGGTAGACTGGCTGGGCCAACTCCCATGAAACCTCTAGCATCCTTGTGAGGGTGAACCGCTGGTTCAGCATTCTGCAAACAGGACGGAATCTGCACTGTTCCTCCTGGATCTGAGGTTTGACCAGCAGACGGACCCTCCTCTCCAGTAGCTAGTTCATAGACCTTCCCAGGGAGGCTGAGGAGTGTGATCCCCCTGAAGCTGGAACACATCCTCCTGTCCCCTTTCATAAAAATTGGGACCACCACCCAAGTCTGCCAATCCAAAAGCACTGTCCCCAACCTCTACGAAGTGTTGAAGAGGTGTGACAACCGAGACAGCCTAACAACATTGAAAGCTTTCAAGTACGCAGTCCAGCCCCTCTCCAGCAATTTGGTTCTAGAGACCAAGCCGTGCATTGAGGTGAGCCCGACTATATTTAATTGGTGTCTCTTTAACTCCTGGACCGGCTCAGGCTCCTTTCCCACCAGAGAGGTTTCATGTCATGTGCTTAAAGCCAGATTGGGTCACTGATGATCAGGAGGGTGGACCCATGTAACCCATTTAGGCTATGCCCACCCTGGCCCCATGAGTGGAGGACCGGCATCCAGGTTCTCACCAACAAGCTCCCCCCAAGCCTAGCTCCAAGGTGGGGGCCTCAGTCTCCCCAGTCTGGACAGGGTAACATCTTCCTTTGTGAATCACACTTTGTCTGGCCACTCACCTAGGACCAATTTGCCTTGGGAGACCCTACCAGGGGCAACAGCCCCTAAGAACATAGTTGCTAGGATCACAGAGGCACACAAACCCCCCCACCACGATAGGGTGGCGATTTTTGGAGGAAACACCGAAATTGGCCTGGCCCATATTGATTTTATAATTAAAAACAGCAGGAAACATGGCATGTTTAGCAATCGTGCAAATTGATTTCAGTAGAAGCCACATTTCCAATGGAATTTTAAAGCTAATCTCAGTGTTTCTTTACAATGGTGTACCTGCTTTGTACTGCATTGTATTTCATGTTTGCCTGCCCCAAGATGAGTAAGATCTACACATTTCAATTGGAATTGTGGCTTCTTATTCAAATGACTGTGTACGGTTGCTCATTGTGCCATGCTGCCAGTTTACTGATACCACTGGCCCAAAGCCTTTAACCCTTGAGACTCCTGTCTGGAGGCCATGACATAATGACAGCCAATGTGTATGTGTGCAATATTCCTTGGTGGATTTAAAGGTGAGAACAACATTGGACCAGAGAGATAACAAGTGATACAACATCATATAACGTCATCCTGAAGTGAGCCTTCCTTGCTAAAAGCAATTGATCAATCTTTATATAGAGCTGTTTTAACCACAGGGTTTACAACTGCTTTACAGACATTTAAATGAAAGTAATTAAAAGAAATATACAATAAATGATAATAAACGCAGGAAAATATATAATAAAGGTGTTTAACCCCTTGAGCTTATACAGTACCTGACATTTGTCAAATAATGCCAGCAAATGTGGACAATAACTAAAGTTCCTTTGCAGATTTAATGGTGAAAATAACTTTGGACCAGTCTGATAGCACATAAAATTACTTTCATACATCATATTGAAATGAATCCTTGGGCTCTTGCACGTTAACCTAAGAAGAACATACTGTAAGAAGTCATATTTTCATTTAGATGTAATTTTCTGTCGTGCAAATGTTTAGGCCCTTTACCTGTAAATGGTCAAGTAATGAAAACCTATGCATACCTAAAGGCACCACATAACTTTTAATGGTTAAAAATGAACAAAATTATGTCAAATATTGCCAACAGTATTTTATTCATGCTGGCTTATACCTGGAAGTGTTCACATAGGACCATTTCATATGTAATACAGAAATTAACATATTTAAATGTACAAAAACCATTTCTACACAAATGATCTACAGAATCTGTAAGGTAAATATTTTTGTTCATCTAACATTTTCTTCAGAATAAGCTATGGAGAGACAGAAATGACTAAAGAACTGGTAACGTTCTAACGTTTGTGTTCGTCTCGTTTTCTGATAAAATGCACATACTATCTTTTAAGCTGTCCAGATATGTACTTTCCTGGAAGTGGTTACAAAAAAAAGTCAGCCGATGCGTTAAGTTAATGCCAGTTGAAATAATCCAAATAGAGTTCTTAAGGTAAGCCTCCGTAATTGAGTCCCCCTACAGGCACAATCGTCTCATTGCATTCAGCTGCGCAGCATTTAAGGTGGACCGGAATAATCCGAATAAGGAGCTACTTCATTCTCGTCTACATAAGGAACAATTTCTACACGACGGGCAAATTTCGCCACATTTGAAAACATATGTATGATTAACACAGTAATACATCTATTCAAAATTTTCTGATCATGCTTTTGCTTTCAGTTCTGATCATCTTAGCATCTCAAACCAAAACATAGCGACTCAAACGGGAAAACAAAATAACCTTGATATATACTGTAAAGGAGCCATGGACTAACGGTAAAGGGGGAGTCGCACTTCGGCTCCGACTTAAGATTTTGTTCAACATGTTTTGTTTCATAAGATGAAAAATATGTTGTGGTTCAACTGCTGTTTAAGCTGGATGAAAAAAACGGAAAGGTCTAGGCAAAATCAGAATTAAAAAACGGAAAATCTAAACCTTTCGCTAATATCAGAAACAAAGTGTATAATTATATAAAGATGCATTCATTTGACTACAGGGAATACAAAACTATTATCTTACTAAAATTTAAAAACCACGCAACAGTTGTAACACATAAAATAGGAACTTTAACATGGAAGCTGGATAGTTGTATTTATTAAATTGACCATACTTGGTATACACGTGCACCCTTAAACATTACTTAAGATCATCGTAACTTTATTTATTAAACATTATTTTACGAACGTAAGTCTGCTTTTAAACGATACATACCATCAGTGTTAATGACGAACTTGAACAAGATTAATATAACAATGAGACGTTCCATCTTCGTTTTCTTGCTTTAGGTGCTGATAACTTTTTTCCTTAACCGTTTATAAAAATGACAGGCATATTTTGCTTCAACGCAGGGGCGGGTATAGAATCTTGACATGGGGTGGTCCCTCCCCCGATTGGCCCACCTGATACCCTCCTAACACTATTGGTGCAGATTACTGTCAGTCTGCATGTTTTGCAGAGCGGATTTTTTTCGGCAGGGCTACGGAGTGTAACTTTGTTCCTAATACGTACACTAAATTATACAGTTCTAAATATATGAATTTGGATGTTGTCCTTTTTCTCTGTTGCAAAGTAATATGCGACTCTCACGTACAATGGCTTGTAAAGCTTAGCTCCCATGAGAGTACGAGGCTGAAGTTGGCTCCTTGTTCGGATTTTTCGGTCCACCTTAAATGCTGCTCAGGGGAATGTAATGACGAGGTTGCGCCTATAGGGGGACTCGTTTAGCGAGGCTTACATTCGAACGTATTAACTGAACACGATTCTACTGACTTGTTACCACTTTGAGGAAAGTACATATCTGAGCAGTTTCAGTAACAGTATGTGTGTATTTTATCAGAAAATGAGACAAAGGCAAAAGTCTTTCAACTCCCAATCAGGCCCGGAAATATGCCCAATCAGGCAAATATGAACTTATCAGTACACATCAGGTATCCCACTATATAGAAAAAGTGACATTGTCCTGGCTCAGACTGATTTAATGCTTTAAAATTCAGATGGAATCAAGGCATGTCATACTGCGCAGCATTTAAGGGGGACAGGAAAATCCAAATAAGGAGCTGCGAATAGGAGCGAACTTCAGTCTTGTCAAGAGAGTCAATTGCCCACATAGCAAAATTGGTATGGCCCGGATCTGGCCCACACTATGCGCTTACACCCGGCCCACATACCGCAATGAATGACGGCCCCTTGCTGGCCCCGATCTGGTTTGCCAGAGGTGGCCCACACATGGACCAGCACAAAGCCAGATGCAGACATGTTGGTGGCCCTGTTCTGGCCCAGAACAGTTTCAGCTCGGGCACCAAATGTCAGCCTTTGTGTACCTTAATCAAGTCATGTAATACCTACTTAATATTAATTCAATAGTCATTGAAATATTAAGTTAGCTCATCATTCAAATAAAGTTGCTCTAACTTAATTTTTTTGTTTTCTACTCAGAAATGTCCATGCAAATAGTTAAAACACTTTCTTTAGTATTAGTACCTTGTTTTACTTGAGTCAGGGGAAATAAAAAACAACCGCATTTCACAATTCAACATTTTAATAAATGTTAAATAATAATAACCATCATCACTTCATTAATCCCCATGGGGAAATTGCCTTTTACATCTCCCTCAACTTGCTCTTTGTAAGTAAGCTGTCTGTGAAGGACAGCCACTCATGGCTGCACCCAGGGAGCTGGGGGTTAAGGGCCTTGCTCAAGGACCCACAAACATGCAGAGGCTGGATTTGAACTGGTAATTTTGTGATTACAAGCACGCAGGCTTAGCCCACTGAACCACACAGAACACATGGTCCCAGTTGTTTGAGTACAAGGATTTTTATAAATAAATTACAAATATCAACTCTAAACACAAAAGGCATACAATAGGTATTTTAGACATCCAGAAATTGTGCAAATGTTGCAAAAGCAGTCAAGTAGAAAACAATTTGAATACTGGAATGTAATTGTGTGCATTATATGTGTGTATAAATATTAATACTGTAAAAACAACACTCACTGCGCACTGTAAAGTATTATAAGTAACACTGAATGGTGTGGGCCCATATAAGATTGTAATGTGTAAGATTAATTTACCCAAACACCAGAGGGCACCAAAGGCTTAAGTACAATCGTCACGCCTGCGTAAAAGGCATTTATCTTCCTTTAGGAAAAATCTGAAGAGTGTGCAAACGTGGTCCCTTTCAATTTGTGTCCAAAGCAGTGTGTAAATCAATAGAAGTGCAAATATATATGCTTGCGTGTCTGTGTGTGTTAATAATTATATATTTAAATAAAAGAGTAAATTGTTCTTTTTCAAGAAACACATAAAACATATAAGTAGATCCCAAAAAAACAGAACCTTCCTTAGCTTATGTTTGGCTTTATAATTATAACCTACACGGCAGAAACGTACCGTCACATGTGTCCTTCAGCATCCTTCTGAATTAGTGAATAAAATGTCTCATTTAAAAGGACACTTAATGATCAGTCAATCTGTAAGACAACATAATCACGGAACAAACCTCTGAGAAGCTCGTAAAGAAAACGTAACTTTTTTTGCCACAAACTTACAAGGACGCCAAAGTGACATTTTTGATATGATTGTAGCGTAACTCGTTTGAATAAATTCAGATTTTAGTATGCACATATCGTTTGTTTCAAATAGCGTGAAATCATAGTTAAAACTATAAATGCAGCCTGTATTGTTAAAGCCAAAACATTAAAGCTAAATGTCTGGAAAGAATGCATTAATAATGTAATAAGCGGCAGTAGTGAGTGATCGAGGCTCTAATCGGCTGATCAGGAGACCTTGGGATAAATGCACGTGAAATGTAACTTATTTAAACAGGATTTAAAAAAATACTCCTAATAATAGTGCCACTTTTCGCCCACTGCACATCGTGGTACGTGCCGTTCTTGAAGTAAGAAGGATTTCATTGATATCTAAATTGTATAAAATGTGCTCTAAATGCGATCAGTGGTGCTTTCAATACTTAATGGAACTATTTTAAATAAAGGTTTCTAAGACCTTCCGAAGAGAAGGGAACATCTTGTAATTACGGTAAATTATGGAGGTATGGAGAGAGAGAGAGAGAGAGAGAGAGAAAGTAAGCAAGAGAGAAGTACTGTAAAAACAAACATAGAGACAAGCAGACAGCAGCCTACATGACAAAAGCAGCAGCACGTTTTGTTAAACAGCACATGCGTTCTGCCAAAGCATTTCAACAACCCAAGCCACAGTCATGCTGACCGGTTTGTCTTAAAATCCAATGGACATAAAAAAATTAAAAAAAATCTAAAGTCTTAGGAAGACTTTTCACACAATCCAAAGAACATACATTAACATCATTAGCTAATCAAGCTTCTGTCCATAAGGGGCACTTTTTCAAAAAAATGTTCAGCTCAGGGAAAGTTTCTTTAAAGGCTCAGACTGACACCTCCAGTTGTCCTCAGTTTTAGCCTGAATCACAATGTTTCACACTAATTCTCAGCTAAAGCGCTCGCTTGCAAAGTGTGTGCAAATGATTTGCCACCTACTCCTTCTTTCCATCTGCACTGGGTCTCTTTATCTCAGTAGGGACTCAGCAGAGACACTGGTTGTCTCCATTGGTGGTGGAATTCGGTTCATGGTCGACGTCTTTGACTGGCTCAGGGTTCTCTAAGGAGACTTTTCCCTGTGTGCATCCGGGCTGGGAACACGACACGAGCGGCATCCGAAGCCAACCACAGCACTCCCACAGTCCCTGCACCGGGCTGGAGGAGAACAGGTGCCTGCAGGGGTGGCAGCACTGGGAAAAGAGAAGCATGAAGAACACAACAAGGACATAACTAAGCAGCAGGAGTAGCTCAAGCACTGGTGCGTGTACTTGTCGATAGAATTCAGTGCGGTGGGTGAACCAGAGAGATGTGAGCGCTACGTTCTCGACAAAGCGTATAGAATAGCAAGCAGTAGCTTGCCTCCAGCCGTAATTTTTTTCAATCAGGTCGGGGTCGTCGAGCTTGAGCTGCACGGCTGACCAGCAGAAAACGTTGATGCCNTTGAGCTGCACGGCTGACCAGCAGAAAACGTTGATGCCCGGCGTACAGGAAAGTGAGCATGGTGAGTGCCGTTGTGGCCGTTCCCACACGTCAGTGTCTTCTCGATGCTCTCGGGGAAGGGAGAGCCACTGCGCCAGAACGCCGCCCATGGCTGCAGGAAGAAGGCAAAGAAATCAGTCATTTAATCTGCTTCTAGGAAGGGTTTGCCTGGCTCGGTCAGTGACTCCCATAGGGGTGTGGATATCATGGATGAAGAGAGCTGGACCATGAACCTCAGACTTGTTGTAGAAAAAGCATCTGCACTCCTCACAGTCTGAACACAACAAAGGAAAGAAATAAAGGCCAAATAAATGCATGAAGAATTTCTGATTAACACTTACGTCCGGTTTACTCTTTGCCAGAAGTGATTCTGTGAAATTGCCAGAAATTTAATTTGTATAAAGAAGACTGTTTGTAGAACTAATCTCCAACTTACGCATATTATATAAATGTATACCCGAATGGGAAATCTACTTCATAAACCGAAAGACTCTAAACACTGTCTCCATAAAAACACCTTCATTGTGATGACTTTAAAGTAACTGTAACCAACCAAAAACAATCATTGTGGTGAAAATTGTACTTTGTAATTTGGGTGGTTTTTTGTTCTAAAACAAGACTATGACAAATGAAATTCATAAAGTCGTCAGTAAAAAGGTATAGTACAATAAAATGGTAAAAAATTAATTTACTTTAACCAGATCAGACAACTACAATATTTATCAAAACGCCTCCAACACTTCTGCCATCTTACAACTACAACATGTAAATCTAAGTGAAACATCTCCCCATGGCATTTATATTTGCTTGCTTGGCTTATTCTTTTCTCCAAAACAACATATAATTATGACACAACACAACTGAGCAGATGATGGTTAATGGTCTCTCTCAACAAACCAGTGGTGACAGCTTGGTGATGCTGGGATTTTAAATCTGTACCCCAAAACCCTAACAAATGAGCCACTACTTCCCTTATCTACTGTACTCAATAATAATATTTATATAACTTCAACATACTGCATGTACCACTAATATTAACATGAAAGTATTAAATACAAATCCATAAGAACAAAAGTCTGTCATCATCAAAACAAGTACAGTTCATTAGGAGCTTCATGGACACACAAATCCCATTGCTATTGGCTGGAGTGTGTGGAGGAGAATGAGGAGAGTCTTTATTATCACACAGGATATATAGTACTGTGCAGTTCTTTCCTCCACAAGTCCCAGAATGTAAGGACACTGGGTCAGTCATGGTGCAGCACCCTGGAGCAGAAAGGGTTAAGGGCTTACCTCATTGGCCAGACAGTGGCAGCTTGGTAGTACCAAGCATGTAACGCACAATCAATATGAATATTACCAAAAAAACCCTAACATATGTACAGGTATGTATCACCATATTGTTGGGATCTTTCCAAATGTTTGTCTCTTGCATATGCAAACTAGCACCAGACCACATCTCTGAAATCACTGCTGTGAGATATTAATTCCTTAAGGAAACTTTATTTAAAATAAAATGTAAAAGGCCAAAACCAAAAACACATTAGGCCTAGTTACCCAGTGTTCACACTAGCAAGCGACAAATGTGTGTGACGTACATTTTCCGAATCCTATGCAAATTAGTTATGATGTGGTAAAGTGACTGTTTGCATGATCCCTCTGAGCAATCCCTATATAACATGTAGTGCTGTGTATCTTCAGTTCCCACTCACGACTTGTAATTATTCACCAATTACCCTTGGTATACACCTTCTCAGTAAACATGTACAGATACATTACAAATAAATTTCAGCTTTAAGGAAGTAGCAGATTGTTGTTGTGCCTGGAGAGTATACATAGTTAGTACAGTTAGATTGTTTTGCTAATCTGCAAAAGAAATTGAGCATGTAACGTAACTCAAACATCTGATTTTCACTCTGATTAGTGCAATATTTCGTTTGATTTTGACGAGCCAGAATTAGAAGCTACATGCTGCTACTACTGTTTTTCATCAGGAAACAAAACCCTTGCTAGTATGAATCTAGGGTTTGACTAGAAAATGAAACAGAATGATGAAGAATGTTATTGAGACTCAGGCTGCTCTCACAGAGGTACTCGTCATCGTTAGGCTCTTCTTCTTTAATGTACATAATTTTCAGTTCGTTGTGCATGTTGCTTTCACAGGTGTCCTCATTTAGCTGCATGTTCTCGCCCCCCTGAAGTGAAACACGTACGAACAAGAATTCACCAATTAGCATCGTCTGTTTAGAAAGTTTGATTAGAGACTGATAACATTTTTATGGTACATGAATATTTACCACTAATGAGCATGGCTTTATGGTTTCTCCAACAGTCCTTCTGAAAACACAAACAAACAATAACATTATAATGCATTAGGGAACATCTCTGATGGTTTCCATCACATACTGGACTTTAATGGGAATCAGCTTTTGTTTTCAAAAATAAACCCCAGAAACATTCAGAATCTTTTGTAATTTTTTTTGTAAATTAACATTATTAGACAAACCACTAAGAACAATAAATTCATATAAAGAAAACACGATTTGCAGATCTTTAAGTAACATGATCTTTAAGAGCATCCTAGAGTTTAGACATCTTTCTTATCAGTTTGGTTAATGATCTCCTAAATTACCCACAATGCCACTTGACTATCTTCTGCAGTGGGATTAGAGAAAACGCTGCAGCGGAGCTTTAGTCCTTTATTCTGCTCAACTCTTTCAGACCAACATGACCATCAGTGGCATCACACATCATCTCGTAGATCACTAACTAGCCAAGCTGAGTCTCTTCCATAACTCCAGTGGAACCGCTTTAAAAACAGCACTGCATTCTGGGACTCTGAGTTTCCAGTGGTAACTCTAACATCTCCATGAGGTCTACACTGGAGCTCTCATTCATATGATGCTAAACTTCACTGGAAACAACATCCTCTTAACTTCTCACAGGAACACGGGTGGCCTTCAAGACAAAAACATCTCACGATTCTCAAAGACAACTCAACAATATACTACTTGTGTAATGATATATAGGTTTGCTCACAAACTGTTTACAATACAGTAGTGATGCATTAAAAATAAAAAGATTCTTTGGCTTTTTTGAAAAAACAAAAATATTTAAAAATAATAAAATCACTGAAAAGTAGGAGGGAAGAAACTATGTAATTTTACAAGTAATTTATCAGCTTGGATAAATTTTAAACAAATTATCTGCTTCCAGTCAGTTTGCAATTTATGAAAAAATAAAAATAATAATTTAAAAAAGATTAAAAGACATAATAATAAAAAAAAGTATATTGTGACAAAGTTTATCACGATATTGATGTTATATGATCATATCACCGAGCCTTAATGTGAAATATTATGACTAATTTTTCTATTATTTTTCTATTTTTCTATTAGAAAACATCACAGTAAAATGTAACTGTAAACTGTAGAGATGCCACACCCTGAAATCTACAAAAAGCAAACCTGATGATGAAGAATATATTATGAAATATTTAACATGTTAAATCAAATCTATTAAATGTACAACAGTCTATAAAATATAAACTGTATGAGAGAAATGATCTTCACAGGAAATCAGAAACAGATCAACCTTCAAAAAAAGTTACCTCAGGGTCTGACTACCTGAAACAATTCAACTGACAGGTTCAATCCCAAATGTCACCCACCGACTACAAGGTGCCCTAGATAGTGTATAAGAAGTCATCATAACACGTATCTAGTGCACTTACAAAGATAATATGGAGTAATTAGGGATTTAGCCGCTATCCGTTAGCCGAACAGCTCAGTTAGCAATCTTCAGTTTAACTCACCTCGCGCTTTAAAGCAGAATGTAGTGAAATACCTCACATACATACACTTTTATTTATTTTAAACCACTAATCTTCTCTGATAAACCTCTGTGAAATGTTTTCAGGAAGAGATGGTGAAGCTGGATCAGAGAGATCAGAAATCCAGTCAGGAAAACTGCCTCACGCTTCTTCTACTGCTGTCAGCTCCTGGATACCAGACCTGCACACTGCCACCTACTGGAGCTCCCGAGTAACAACAATACTAACACATAAAGAAACATTTATTTTTACTGGTGCAAACCCAAAAAAATAGAATATGGTGAAAAGTGCGTTTTTTGGTCATTTAATTAAAAAAGGAAAACTTTTACAAATTTCACATCCATTTCACGTGAAGAGAAATAGTTCAAGCCTTTTTTTTTTTTTTTTT